GGATAGAGAAATGGCCACTTTAACATACTTTGACTTGTAAACTTTTGATATATATGAATCACTTTTCATCAAAAAAAAAAAACCCTCCCAAAAATTCTCATATTGTGCTAGATGATACATTAGCTTTTTGCCTAAATGATTCAGTAAAAAGTGATTTTCATTGAATTGAAAAGGCATTCAAAATGACCTTTTATCTTTGACATATTTTTTACCAATAACAAAGAGCATATAAGCAAACTACAACTCAGGAAATTTGATTGTAGTTACTCAACGTAGTTGGACTTTTAATTTTCAAATTTTATACTTATCACACTATTTATGACCTCTGATATTCTCATTTTGCAGGTATTTATATACTCCATATACAACTGTTACAGTAATAAATACGAAAAGTTGTATTAATTTTACATGAAAATCGACACATAGCAGGTAATTTCGCGCACCCAACTCTACTCATGGATATTTTACATTAAATTTTTTAAGAGCACTGGGTTCAAACAATTGCATATTTAGGGTCAAACTCAAATATGAATAAGTTTATATGGCATGAAGAATAAAGGAAGCAACTTAGAAAAAGAGGAAACCAAAACCGTGCTCGCTCAAACAAAATGGAAGCTTTGACATATAATGCATACCTAGTTGTTGTCCCTCAGGCCACTGGCACTTTAAAGTAGCTCAAAACTTGTCATTGAAGACTCATTGATCAAAAATCATCTGATAAGGGCACCGTGCAAAGAAATGTTGTTGTCTTTCTCAAAACTTGTCATTCACAACCTGCTCACAACTCACATTGCTGTTAATAGTCTATCAGAAACATCCCTCACCATATTCTCTCGTTCAACTCACACAAAGAAACCAACCACAGAGTGGTCTTCATTTTCCAATTGCTTTGTTATGATAGGGGCATTTTGGTCCATCTAGAATTTGTTAAATGAATAAAATATAAAGTTTGGCCCTTCAAAAACATTTGATCTCTAGAACCAATTTCCTTTTCATCCTGGTCCTTTTCACCAATTTTTTCAAAAAAAAAAAATTTTCCTTTATCATCCGCACAATCAAAATATGACTACATTTAAAGTTTTTTGGAAGTTTCAGTGAGACTGTATATGCTTGGAGATGTAGTTAACTTAAGAGTAAATTATAAAATTTCAAGACATGATGTGAATTTTAAATTCAAAGGTTTGGTGTAATAGACAAGCTTTTTATAGTTTCTATTTTTTTTTGTCGGCATGAATACGAATATTCACCTATTATAATGTTATTGCCTAGTGTATTTTTTTCATTTTTATTTCTTTCTAAAAAAATACTTAATATTTTTTAAATTATGTTAAATTCTATTTTAAGTAAGGTTAGTAGCGTTGCTCTTGTTATATTATAGTTTTTTTTTGGGCCAAAATGCTACATTGTTTTACCGTTATACTGAAATTTCTTATAAATAATTTTTTTTCCAAAAAAATTTGTCGAACTCCATATTCTTTGGTTTAATGTTCTAAACTCTTAGAAGTAATAAAAAAGAGAGAGAGAGAGAGAGAAATAAATGATCATTTTTAGCTTCTATATCGCAATATTTTCTTATTATGTCTTAGCACTGTAAGGAGAGACAGGTGAGCGCAAATTTGGTTGAACCAATTAATCACCAAGTTGGCTGCTTAGATGAGCAAAGATAAATTATAGTTTTTACATTGATGCATCCATCTTATAATGTAACTTTCGTGATGTCAGCGTGACCTCATATTGTTTACTTTCTGGTCGTTTATGCATTTTAAATTGAATCCCAGATTTTCACTGATTCTTTTTGTTAAGTTTTTTTTTTTTGACATCTCCTTAATGTGGTCAGTTTTTTTTTTTTTTTTAAAGCAGTAGGCAGTGGGCGCCTAGTTCAGATTTTGATTGCTTGGCCGAATTTGTTGCCCATAAACTATAATTGTGTGTCGGTGATTAACAAATTAACAAATAAAGATTGGATGTCCCTCTCTCTTATGTTTCAGCCTTTAGTTGATTTCTTTCTTTCTTTCTTTGTTTTTTTTTTTTATGAAAATTTTAGTTGATTTCTTATTTGGCTGAATTGTCTTTATGGGAAGCAAATGGCTGCAAAAGAAATGGTAATCCACTGGATTTGATGGAAACCCCATTTAGATTTTTTTTTTAAACTATTCTCATTAGCTTGGTCAAAATGTGATTTTGATCGAAACTAATACAATACCAAACATATATAACAGGGTTCGTAATATATTACTTAGATGCCCAAGAGTTTAATTACTGCCTTTTCAGTCCTGAGGAAACGAGGTTATGTAATATCAATATTTTTCTAATTTCCCACCCATGTTCTTCTTCGCTTTACTACACCATAGAATTTTTCTTTTTTTATTTGTTTGGTACCTCTTTGGGACGAGTGTGGACCATGTGGCTATTTTCAAGGAGAAAAATGTGATTGAAAAATTCTGTGTAGTTATAGCTTATTAATGAAAAGTTGGTAGAGTTGGTCCTCTCTCTACCTCCCCCACTAACGCCGTTAGTGAAGCCAAATTATGACCAAACCCTTACCTAATTACCAACACAAAAGTGACAAAACAAGACCCAGCCCGAGAGTATCAGTGTCTAACGTAAGATGAATTTGTATATAATGGGAACTACTAGGTATTATCTGGTGATATATACTATAAAAGATGTCAGCAAATAACCCATTTTGTATTGAATAAACTTCAGCTTGTATTAAAGAAAATAAAAGAAATATTACACACAAAAACTTGTATGAAATGTTTATGACTTTTATGAGCTTTCCATTAAATTTATATGGCGTTCGTGGTTTTTATCATTCTTGTTTTTTTTTTAATGAGTCTAACATGTACACACGTCGTGAAACTTCCCTTCTAAGCAAGAGGCATACTTAATGTTTCTAGATCATTGACTTCAAGACTCGTTTCTGCGCCATGAAAATAACCTCCTTTCCATTTTATTATTATGAAAATGCCCCGTGCGATGCGGGATATTAAATAGAAATTCATTTTTTTGTTTTTTGTTTTGGATGCTACGTTAGCATGTATCTTTACAAAAAGTTTTGGTTTAATGGAATGTGATTTTTATATTATATTCAATATATGGTTTATTTTTATTAGTACGCCATAATACATTTTAATTGTTTTATTTTTTGTTTCTTTAACAGACTTCACCAACTTTAGATTGCATAAAATATTATTACAATAGTTAAATAACAATAATAGGGTAGATTGCTGCTAGGGTCATGGGAATTTTTTCTAGAATAACAACATTTGCATTAAAACATGAAATTTAAATGTATTAATATAATATAGGATGAAGTAATTAAAGAAAAAAAAAGGAAATGAAGTCATTTATGTGAAACTCAAAATAATAAATCTCATCCTTTGTGTCTCTCCTTTTCTTTAATTCAAACATAACATAATTTAAAAAGTATTAATTTTTCTTAAAAAAGAAAAATCTTGATTAATGAGCCATAATATTAAATCATTCTGCGAGTCCCAAGAAAAAAACCATAATTGATAGGAGAGTATCTGCGAGTAATAAAAGACCTTTTTTTTTTTGACAAAATACTTTACTTTTGTGCATATTAAAAAAAAAAACTTTATTTTATCCTAAACTTATTGCTTGTGAAAAATACATTAAAAGACAACTTCAAAAGTTATATAAATGCAAAAGAGGGGCTTTTACAAATATAATCAATGTTATAAAATTACATTAAACAAATAACCTAATATTTATTATATTTTATATTATAGTGAGTTTACTATATTTTTAATAATATATTATTATATATTAATAATAAATTTCTTATAAATTTTTAAATTTTTAATAACAAACCTCTTAATGTGAATTGACTACACTTTTCAATTTTTTAGGCACAATATTTTTTTCAGCTATTGGACTAAGTTATTTTATATAAATGTGTACATATGATATCATAAAAATATAATATAAAAATGTTAGCAGTGACAGTGAAAAATGCTTTAATTTTTTTAACAAAGTAAAAAAAAGCATGACCAAAAATATAAGTGAGAAAGAAACAATTAAATTTTGAAAAAAAGGCAATTTGTGGGTCCCTTCATGAACAGTGAAATTTATTATTATTATTATTATTATTATTATTATTATTATTATTATTATTATACATTAGATAGCATCGATGGCTGTTTTTATTTTACGTTTTCAGGCAGTCTTGTTTTAGTTCAGTTTTCAACTAATGCTGAGTGTTACCTCCCCTTGCGTATCGTGGCAGTTTCCGCCTTTCATTAACGAAAATGAGAGTTTTTTTTTTTTTTTGGGAAATTTTTTAACAATATTAATTTATTCACCTAAAGCTTTTGATGATATTAGTTTAATCTTAATTCAATGTTAAATTGATTTATTTCTTAAATACTAATTAAGTTAGTGTAAGAAAATAATTCTTCAACATTCAGAAAAATGAAAATGTATTAGTTTTAGAATGTCTCCGCAAGTTCTCATAGGTGATTAAATGAGGATAATTAAAAAATGGACTTGATAAATTTTTTTTTTTAAAAAAAGACACGCTCAAGTATGCAGCCATCTTAGGAATATTAATAATTTGAGAGGCTTAAGGATTAAAAAATTAGGCCAATCCAAATTTCAATTCAATTAGCATGTAAAAACTGTTTTAAGGATTGAGTTAAATTAGGCAATTTTAAACCAGTGGTTGAACCAAAAATCAGATCAAGTTTTCAAAAATTGAATTGTTCAAAAAAAATCTTTTTATTTTTTATCAGTTCTTTTTATTTTTTATCAGTAATTTTAAAAATGATTAATTTTTTTAATTATTTAATATTATATTATATCATGTATCTTGTTAAATCATAAAAAATTTAAAATAATTAATTTTATTTTTAAATTAAATAACAATTATATATTTATTTTTTATATTTAAATTATAATATATACATATATATATATATATATATGTATAATTTTTTAATTTAATTATTATATCATTAATTTAGTAATCATGTAAATTGTAAAATCCTGATCTTTTTTATTCGATATCTTATTCGATTATGAAAACATTGCCTAGTAGTTCTGAGAGAGAGTGCAACAAATAAATATTCAGAGCACGTGGTCAGACTCGGATGTCTGTCTTCCATGTATTACTGTACAAAACCGAAAAGTGGCCTCCGTTAGAAAACCGAGGCGAAACGTCTATTAAAGAATAATTCAAAACCCAGAAACTCAGAAGCCCATACGAAGGTTCTCAGAGCTGCCTCTCTCATCTATTTCAAAACGGCGAAGCTTGTCCCCTTTGCCGCGTCACCACCGCGTTTCGTTTCCTGTTTTGCATTTATATTCAACCCCACCTCTTGGCCTTTCCATTGCCTTCGTCTTTCCAATATCTCTGATTTTTGTTCATTTTTCCAGACTTCTCTCTTCAATCACTTCCCTCTGCTCTGCGCGGAAAGCCAGTAATGTTTCGCTCTCCACAAGTTCTTTTTGTGGTTCTTTCAGTTTTCCTTCTTCGCGTTCCAACCAATGCAGCTCGATCTTTACCATACAAAATTTCACATAGTGGGTATGGAAAAAAGGTTGAAGATGAAAAGGTTGTGCAATTTTCAGAGGCCCCAGAATTCAGAAACCAGCAGATGTGCCCTGTAATTGACAGAGACAATTTAGAAATGGCATGCGACTCATCATTGGTTCACATTGCCATGACTATTGATTGGGACTACTTGAGAGGATCAGTAGCTGCAATCCACTCTGTTCTCAGACACACTTCTTGCCCAGAAAACGTGTTCTTTCATTTCATTGCCTCAGATTCGCGGTTAAAGAACAAGGATGACTTTGAAGGAATAGTTCAGTCCACCTTCCCTGCTCTGAGGTTCACAGTATACGTGTTCAGAGAAAGTCTAATTAGAGATCTCATATCCCCGACAATACGCCAAGCTCTGGAGAATCCGTTGAACTATGCTCGAAGTTACCTGGCTGATTTGCTTGAGCCCTGCGTTGAACGAGTGATCTATTTGGATTCTGATGTTATAGTTGTTGATGACATCCAAAAGCTATGGAAGGTTTCACTGAGTGGGTCAAAAGTCATCGGAGCTCCAGAGTATTGTCACGCGAATTTCACTAGATATTTTTCTCATGAATTTTGGTCCAGTCCTGAGTTCTCAGAGGTGTTTGCGGAGAGAAGGCCTTGCTATTTCAACACGGGGGTGATGCAAATGGACTTAGCAAAATGGAGAAAGGGAGACTACACAAAGAAGATTGAGAAGTGGATGGAGATTCAGAAGGAAAGAAGGATCTATGACTTGGGATCTCTGCCTCCATTTTTGCTGGTTTTTGGAGGAGAAATAGAGGCCATTGAGCATAGATGGAACCAGCATGGGCTTGGAGGAGATAATGTGGAGAATAGTTGCAGGAGGTTGCATCCTGGTCCAGTAAGTTTGCTGCATTGGAGTGGTAAAGGGAAGCCATGGTCAAGACTTGATGCCAGAAAGCCATGTCCTATTGACTTTGTGTGGGCACCTTATGATCTCTACAAACCCCAAGCTCACCTGCTTACGTGATAACATAAACATTAGTCTAGGACTAATTTTTTGGAATTCATGTGTACAAACAAACCGCCAAGATTCTTTAATTTGTATGTAGAGGGAGAGAAGAACATAAAGAAACGGTATATTATGTATTTTATACTGTTTTCGATGCACTGAGCGGTGTGGCAATATTAATTCAGAGAATCACATGGCTGTGTGTTGGATGAATCCGCAGCATAAACGCGTTATGCACAGAATTTCACTTCAGTACTGCAGAAAAAATGTTTCAGAAAATTTAGTTCACGGGTTCGGTTCGCCGATTTATATCAATTTAATTAATCCATTGATTTGCTTTAAAATAAGAAGAAAAATACTATTTTTTTGTTCCAGCACACTGTCTTACGTAGAGCTCAAAACCCGTTAAATCCACCAAAGAAACTTCGTCCCACATCTAAGTCGTCTCACCAGTGCTTCCAAAGTCTACTAAGCAGTTCATTACTTTGTGATCATCAAAATACAGCGCGCGATACCAAGTTATTTAAGAGATACAATATTAATTGAAATATATATATATATATATATATATTTTCAAGTTCTCCTTGATCAATTAAGAACTGAAATATATTAGGGATGAAAAAAAATCCCACATCTAAAATTTAGAAATTAAGTCATGAACATATAAAGTTTACAACTTGTCTAACCAAGTTGTTTAAACCATTTTAATGAAATAAGCTATCTTTAAGCATCATATAAAAAATTTCATAATCCATCTTCTAAATTTAAATTCTAAATGCAAGACTTCTTTTATCTTTAATAAAATTAACCAATATGATGGGTGTTTCAGTTTTTTTTTCCTTCAAAAAAAAAAATACTCTGAGATACAAAAAATCTCTTTTTTTAATTTAAGCTATATCATGGACAGAAATTATTCAAAAATATCAACATACAAATTTAAATATCTACCAAATATATTGGACAGAAAGATAAATTGTTTGTATGATTATCTTTAAGAGTACAACTAAGACTTTATATAATCATTATTGAATAAACAATTAAGATTGTAAACAACGAAAGGACAAAGCAGTGAATCAGTCACCATGGGGAGGGTCTACGATCTGTGTCCGGGAATGCTGAATGAATGCCATTTTGGTAAATACGATACAGCAGAAAACAATCAGCTCTAGCATTAAACGGGCTCAGCCGTTGGGCAAGCAAAATGAAAGCGTTCATTTCAGGCATTATTTATGGAATTTCACAAGTTGTTATACTTGATTTCACAAAATTCGTAAGAATCTACAAAGTGGTGTGCTTCTTACAATGAATCAAGAGAAAGGTGCAATAAGCTGAATATTAATGTTATTATGGAAAATTTGGAAGGAGAAGGAGAAAAATTGGGAGTGGGGGAAGAATATACATGCCTTCCTCCTTTCTCTTTACAACAGTCCTACAGCACAGCTTAGATACAATCTGTTCTCCAACCCCCTCAAGTGATGACCTAATAGCATACACCTGCCAATGGGGAAAAACTCAAAAACATTATCACAGGCATGCCAATAGCAAAGAAGGGACTAGATTATGGAAACTAGGACTCAATGAATGCAACAATGTGTTCACGTATAGATATTTATGACCAGATTTAGGCAAATAACTCTTAGAACTGGACAGAACTTCTCGAAGGGCTAGAGTTGTACTGACCAGAAAAGCAACTTGGCAAGGTAATCACGCGAAGTTCCTACAGTATCACATAATCTTTTATCATCATTTGAATGATCGTCTATATTTCTTTCCACTGACAATTCCACCAACTTAAAGTTGGCATTATCCCCAATGAATCTCCTCGATATGTTTTGAACAAGTTGGTGAACTATGTCCTCCACTCCTGCTGATGGTCGAGCCAGTTCAGTCACCTGTTATAGACAAATTACACATACCAATCACTTACAAGGCATAGAGAAGTTCCAGGACCTACGTGAATCAGGAACAGAAAATAACATAGGTTGAAAGGAAAAAATTTTTAGTCATCACCATATCAGGGTCCAGAGACCTAAGATACTCCAACAAATTGTTCCTGTTCCCTCTGTCATTTTCTATTTGCATGATTTCCTGTTTCCGGGAATTTAGTTCCTGGAGGGCCAAAAAAAGAAGAAGAAGCAATATTCTGAGATCACCTTGCAATGCATAAATGACATGTAATGTAACGGAAGAAATTGCATCTTTCAAGTAACAGGCAATGAAAGCAAAGTCAATCTTGAATCAACATGGTTATAGTGTCTGCCTATTTTGAACAAAGGATCATTGATGCCTCTAGTGTTTCAAGAAAGTTAATCCCAAAGTCTATAAAGCCAATGTAAAGCACTTTAAACATTATAGGTTACATACATAGTGATGATATAGTTGCAAGTTCTTAACAAGGTGCTTCCCACAACTTTTGAAGAGATTTGTACTGAGAAGTGAGAATAAACAGCAGTGAGGAATATAAATAATATATTTACCAAAATTAGACAATTCAAAAACTGATAGCAAGTTGGACAAATAAGATTATCCACGGAGAAAACTAGCAGATATAAAAAGCTTGTATAACTTCTGAATTGTCAGCAGCCATTGTAATAAAGGTCTAAGAATGCAACAGAAGCATTTTTTCACTGCTGAGGAGACAGACTTTGTATTCTCTGCTGTGCTTGATTATATAGGCAGTGAAGAGAGAACAAGAAAAAACAAAAAAACAAGGGGTAAAAAAAATATAAAAGAGTTCCGATTGAACAACAACAAACATTGTCATGGAGATTGATGCTAAGAACATCTCCACGGAGCTAACTCCAATTCTATAGGATAGAAAAGTAAACTAATAACGAGTCAATGGATTACCTCCTTCACGCGTGTTAATTCAGACTGTAACTGCTGAATGTAGTTCAGGGCCTCGGGAGATAAATCCCCAAACACACGAGGACTGCAACTTTCCAAACCATTTAATACCACGTCAGAACCAATCTCAATATTCTTATCTTCACCATTCAGATCTCCCGAAACCTCTGTCTGAGTTGGACAAGCCGATTCTTTTTTTACACTGGGAGATACATCAAGATTTCTCACCAAAGACATCCTATACTCCGCACTCCACAAAGTGTACCTAAAATCGAAGCAAACAGTTCACTATCGAACTTGCAAAGAAAAGTAAAGACGCAATTCAAAATAAATCACTACCCCGTGATAATGGACGAGAACATAAGCCGATCCAGAGGATGCTTTGCAACCGTAACGGTAACAGAGAATTGGTCGGAGGGCAACAATCCTAGCATCGTAGAAATGGTCTGCTTCATGGAATCCTTGGCTAAATCAGAAACACCCCGGGAAATGACAGAGGTGTCGAGAGGCTCAATTCGCTTGAGCATGTTGGCAATCACAGCGAAACCACGGTCGTAGGTGGATTTCCGAGTCGAAACAAATTCGTCGGACACTCCTCCGCCGTCAAAGCCGGACATGAGGCAGGAGAGGGATGTAGGGGGCGAAGAGGAACGACGGGGTGCGGCGGCTGAGGAAAATGAAGGAGGAGGGATAAGGAAGCGGGGAGGAGGGGGTTTGGGAGGGTGGAGTGAGAAGTCAGCGATGCGGGATAGGAAGAATGATGGGGCCGAGACCGCCATGAAAGAAGGGTTAAGAGAAAGGAACGAGGCGCGCGCGCGAGGTCTATCCCATCCTGCCCTATCGATCTCACCCACCAACGTTTTGTTCCCGTATGAACTTCCTGTGTGTGTTTGTTAAGATAATTCTAACATTTAAAATTAAAAATATAAATAGAGGTATTCAAATCCTCCACATTTTCATGCAAGAAATTTATAAAATTGGAGGGATTTCAGTTTTCACCATATCATTGCAATATAAGCATACAATTTAGGTTTGATTTTTAATAAGAAGCGCGTAAGTTGGCCTCAGCGGTAGGACCCACCACATTCATATTCACCGTTAACCCTCAACTTCAACAGTGTGTGCCGACCATCCGGCCTCAAGTTGCAGCCTTCCTCGGCACCTTAACACCGCAAACTCCAATTCCAAAATTCACATCATTTCATAATTGCTTTTTTGCCGCCGCCCCAAGAAGCTGCCACTTCATCAACTTCGAAATACTCGTCTTGTTTTGTTTCCTTCCTTACGGTGACTTTAAATATAGTTCTGTTAATTTCGTTCGTCTCGCTTTCAATTAGAGGACTTTTTGCTTCGCATACGGTAGATTGATACCGGAAAGGAAATTTGCTGCATCGTACAGGTCATGAAATAGATATGTAACGTGTATAGAGCTTGTTTGTTTTGACAAAGACTTCCTTGTAAACCACGTGAAATTATGGAATTTTCTTGTGAAAAAGCTTGTTGACGTTTCCTCTGCTCGTGCTTCTGCTGCAGAACATAACCACCGTTCCATGCAAGCTTGTGTGGTGAATCCATCTGAAATAACTGCCGTGCTCTCTTCTACTATTATTTCGGTCTTTACTACTGCTTCTCCTTGAGGAGCATTTGCATTATCAAATACAACTTTACTCGGCATATTGCATTTTGGGCTGTACAGGTGTGGTGTTTACTGTAAATTGTAAAGTTTGTTTGCTGTATTAGTCTGTCACATGACTCATGGCAAAGGGTCTGTTAGTTGGGTAACCAATTCAATATTCATTAACTACATAATATTATAAATCCGAGTTCAAACATTCAAGCACTAGGAATTCCTTTCACTATAAATTCAGTATTATCTTTTCCCCCAAAGAAAACAGCCTCCTTCCAAGTTCCAAACGGTTATGTATAAGCCATAAGGTGTTTATTTAGAAGAATTATTTAAGGGATTTTGGAACCAGTTAAAAAAGCAAGCTTTCTTATTCTATGAAAAATACTGTAAATTGGTTAGGGTCTGTTTTACGAATCCACTGTTTGTAAAATTTAATTTTTACGGTTGTGGTTCAAGCATGGTCTGCCTCGATAAAGTCAAGGCTGATCAATTATTGTCTTTGTCACGGAAAGCAGTCAGTCTTGTTAGTTTTTTTTTCCCATAAAAGATGTAGAGTTTTTGTTTTAATTTTTAACCAACAAACTAATCTTAGAATTATACAAGGTGCTCCCGTTGTTTTTATATATAAAAAAAAATATATCACACAATTAAAAAAATTAATTAACTATAATAATTATGTTTAAAAATAAAAAAATTAAATTAAAATACTTTATATTAATTAATATGAATATATATTAATTATTTTTGTTAATGTAAATTATGAAGAATGATTTAAAAAATATATAATAAACATTATTAAAATATATGATTTTATTTATATAAAATAAATAAATAAATAATGATAATTTTTGTTATAAATAGATGCAAAATAGGACGAAACATTAAAAACAACAAAGTTACAGTTGCCAAAAGAAAAAACAAAGAAAGAAATAAAGGAAGGAAGGAAGGAAGATAAGACCAGGTTACTTACTACCTGTGACATGTACCGCCAGTGTGGTGGGAGTGGAATGGTCCATTTGGGAGCCAGAAATGACCCTCCTCCTAATGGATCAAGACGGACAGATTTTCCTCTGGGAGACTTGGAATCAAAGACTTCACTTGCTCTTGGTCCTCGCCAAATATAAAGTGGGGTTTTCGTCTTCACCTCGCTTTTGCTACCATAGATCCCATCTCAGGTATTTATGTTATAAAATTCGCATGAACGCTTGAAAAGTACCGAGTTAGAGCGAAGCTGTTGGAGCCCCCATCGCGATTTGTGGGAGAGAGCCATGGCTTTTTCGTCCTACATTAGTAGAACCAGGCGTGGCGGCTGGGCACAATCTATCCTTCCGTCTTCAAACTCCAAATCTAAGTTACCCCGAAAATCTCGCAGGAGAGCTGCTCTCAAAGAGTTTCTCTTTGCGAATTTCTTCACAATCGGCCTTTCCGTGTCGCTCTTCGTTTTCCTTGTCATCCTCCTGCGCTGTGGGGTCCCCAAGCCCATCACTTCTCACTTCAATTCCCGTTCACCTCGCCATCGGAAGCCCGTCAATCGGAAATCCATATTGACTGAACATGGCAATTACTCTCTTTTGGCTGCTGACGTCGATATCACGACGAAGGACTTGTATGATAAGATTGAGTTTTTGGATGTGGATGGTGGGGCGTGGAAGCAGGGTTGGAGTGTGACTTATAAAGGGAACGAATGGGATTCTGAGAAATTGAAGGTTTTTGTGGTGCCTCACTCACACAATGATCCTGGTTGGAAGCTTACAGTGGAGGAGTATTATGATCGGCAGTCTCGTCATATACTTGATACCATTGTTGAAACTCTTTCTAAGGTGAACGTTTCTTGCTGTTACTCATTATACAATTTTGTTCGGATAAGACTGGAAGCTCTTTGTGTGTGTGTGTGTGTGTGAATTTCTTGTGATCTTTGTTGGATTGTAGCTAATTTGACGTAATGCATAAATATATGTCGGTTTGTGAACAATGGCAATTGAAGCTGTTGCAATTTGTCTTTATTGGTTCGGTGAACTTGATATTTTACGGCTGCAAAATTATCTAGGTGCTTCGTTTCTGATAAGAAAAGTTGTGAGAGTTTGATGGACTAGAGACACACACACACATTTGATCCATTTTTTTCCTTCTTAATTTGTAAGTGTTCAAGAGTTAGACGAGGCCCGGAAAAAGAAGTTTGGAAGGAGCAAGTGTTTTGACTTCAATGCATTTTTTTTTTTTTGACAAGTTGATAAATAAATTGCGTTTGTAATATTTAATGGATTATTGGGCTTGGATATCCAGGATTCTCGTCGCAAGTTCATATGGGAAGAGATGTCTTACTTAGAGAGATGGTGGAGGGATGCCACAAATACAAAGAAGGAATCATTCATCAATTTAGTTAAAAGTGGGCAGCTAGAAATTGTTGGTGGCGGCTGGGTGATGAATGATGAGGTAATATTGGTCACTTGGTCTCGTAACCCCTAGTCTCTTATCTTTGTTTACAGAATCTGCTGAATGACTGCTTTATTCCTGTTTGAGTATGATGGTTACTCAAGCAGGATTGGAATTCTTCTCCGAAAGGTAGCCATGGAGGCAAGTCTCCATTGATTGGCCCCTTTGAAGAACCGGCATCCTAGTGGTTGCATACTATGACATTTTACTCTACTCAAGTAGTCATGTGGGATGGGAAACTATCTCCGAAAGCTGGCTAATGACGTGGGAGAAGTCATTGGGCATCCCATACTATCTAAGTCTCTATTAAAGTAATTTGAAGTATTTAACTTAAATCATTGCAGCGGAATAAGTTAGTTAATTACCTATTATCAAATTTGTTTTGTTGCTTGAGTTTTATGATCCTAGGCACTTAATGCGCACATATTTTTTCTCCTGCTAATGAAGTGCATCATTTAGAAATGTGCCTGTGGAATAGTAATATCAAAATATGGAACTCATCAGAGCTTCCTTGCTAAAGAGAGAGTCCAACACTTCTGACCAAAAAAAAAAAAAAACCAGAAAGAAAGAAACAGGTCAATATTCTCTTGAGAGTCTGTGTGTGTAAATTTGACTTACTTTTAACTTGTCTTTCCTTTATGCAGGCCAATTCACATTATTTTGCTATAATTGAACAGGTACATTTTAAAGCTTTCTCTATTATTAGATTTGCATACATTCGTTTGCTTTGTTCAGCTACATATTTTTGGTTGATTGTATTTTTAGCTGTGAGGACAGTTTAATTATGTTGACTTTAGCCTGTATTTAGCGCACAATACGAACAAATATTGTGTGACAATTCTTTTGTGGTTTATGCATGTGAAGCAGTTTAGTAGTATAACTCCTATAATGTATGTTCGTTGAAACAAAAAGATGTTGAGAGCTTTAACCTTCTAAATTGCAGCAGGAAGGACAATGATTTGAGTGGAAGGAATACGGACTTACAAGTATTACATTATTGTAAATTCTACAATTCAAGTGTCTATTTCTAGCTAGTAAGTCAATTTTATTTTAGATATTACAAAAAAAATACTTTGGTTTAAAAAAAAAAATCTTATACGCCCATTGGTGATTATAAATATTAAAATATTAGAAAAATTATTCATGTCTATAATTCTTTTTTCCATTTTTTTGGGGTAGTTTACATCAGTTGTTATGAAAAGTAGTTGTTTTAATTGATGATTGAGATCTACTTTTTTTGGGACCATTTGCAAATGGAATTTGTGATTATTTATTTACCACTATGCTCTTCTTTGGTTTGGATAAGCATTTTGCTTATATAGTACCTGATACTGCAGTTTTATTGTCTAATTTAGTTTGCCATTCAAAATAGCACTTGGGATGTGTTGTTGGTGCAAGCAGCAACACCCATTCATATGCTACGTTTTCATCCTTTCATATAGGCCATTTAAAGACCATAAACTCCTCCTTATCTAAGCCTAAGTTTCTAACTCAAACATTGATAAAGTTTCTTTCTTTTTATGCTCTTTTATTTATTTGTTTAAGGAGAGAATTCCCTTTCCATGTTAATTTTTGAAAATTCATTTATCAGATGACTGAAGGAAATATTTGGTTGAACGATATCATTGGGTTTGTTCCTAAAAATTCTTGGGCCATAGATCCATTTGGTTACTCACCTACTATGGCATATCTTCTGCGCCGTATGGGCTTTGATAACATGCTTATCCAGAGGACCCATTATGAGCTGAAGAAGGAGCTTGCATGGCATAAGAATTTAGAGTACATATGGCGTCAGAGCTGGGATGCTGTGGAAACTACTGATATATTTGTCCATATGATGCCCTTCTATTCATATGACATACCACATACTTGTGGCCCAGAGCCTGCTATCTGCTGTCAGTTTGATTTTGCCCGCATGCGGGGTTCCATTTATGAACTATGCCCATGGGGACAGCATCCTGAGGAGATCAATCAGGAAAATGTGCAGGAGTTGGCGCTCAAATTACTGGATCAGTACCGGAAGAAATCTACTTTATACCGGACAAATACACTCCTTGTTCCTCTTGGAGATGATTTTCGCTACATTAGCATCAATGAAGCAGAAGCCCAGTTCAAAAATTACCAATTATTATTTGACTATATCAATTCAAACCCCAGTTTGAATGCAGAGGCTAAGTTTGGTACTTTGGAAGACTACTTTCAAACCGTTCGTGAGGAAGCAGACAGAATAAATTATTCATATCCTGGTGAAATAGGATCTGGTGTCGTGGGAGGTTTTCCTTCTCTGTCAGGTGACTTCTTTACTTATGCTGATCGACAGCATGACTACTGGAGCGGCTATTATGTTTCACGGCCCTTTTTCAAGGCTGTTGATAGAGTACTAGAGCAGACACTTCGTGCCACAGAAATGATGATGGCTCTAATACTTGGGTTTTGTCGGAGGTCACAATGTGAGAAGTTTGCAGTGGGTTTTTCCCATAAGCTGGCTGCTGCTAGAAGGAATTTGGCCCTTTTTCAGCATCATGATGGGGTAACTGGTACTGCAAAAGATCATGTGGTTATGGACTACGGAACTCGAATGCATATTTCTTTGCAGGACTTGCAGATATATATGTCCAAAGCAATTGAAGCACTCCTTGGAATGCGGTTTGAGAAATTAGATCAAAGTCCTTCCCACTTCGAGCCATCATTGATGAGATCAAAATATGATGCTCAGCCTGTGCACAAAGTAATCGGTATTCAAAAGGGGACTTATCAATCAGTGGTCTTTTTTAATCCTTTAGAGCAAACCAGAAAAGAAGTTGTTATGGTTGTTGTTGATAATCCTGACGTTTCTATAATTGACTCTGACTGGAAATGTGTTCAAAGCCAGATTTCTCCTGAATTGCAGCATCAGAAAAGCAAGATCTTTACTGGGAGGCATCGAGTGCACTGGGTAGTTTCTGTTCCTGCAATGGGGTTGCAGACATATTATATTGCTAATGGTCTTGCTGATTGTGAAAAGGCCAAGCCTGCAAAGTTGAAGTTTTTCTCCAAATCCAGTTTAGTTCCTTGTCCACCTCCCTATTCTTGTGAAAAACTAGAAGCCGTTGTGGCTGAAATTGAGAATCAACATCAAAAACTAAGTTTTGATGTAAGGTATGGTTTGTTACAGAAGATAAGGTTAAAAAATAGGCCCCCGAATATTGTGAATGAGGAAATCGGTATGTATCATAGTTCAGGCAGTGGAGCTTACTTATTCAAGCCCAATGGTGATGCTCAGTCTATTGTTGAAGAAGGTGGGCAGTTGCTGATCTCAGAGGGCCTCTTGATGCAGGAAGTATACTCTTATCCAAGGACAGCATGGGAGAATGCCCCCATCTCGCATAGCACCCGTATTTACAATGGTGAGAACACTATCCAGGAGTTTGTCATTGAAAAGGAATACCACGTTGAGCTTATTGGCCATGATTTCAATGACAGGGAGTTAATAGTGAGATATAAAACAGATATTGATAGCAAAAGGATCTTCTATTCTGATGTGAATGGGTTTCAGATGATCCGAAGAGAAACTTATGATAAGATTCCTCTTCAAGGCAATTACTATCCTATGCCTTCTCTTGCCTTCATTCAAGGATCCAATGGTCAGCGCTTTTCTGTCCATACTCGGCAATCATTGGGTGTAGCAAGCCTTAAAAGTGGGTATCTAGAAATTATGCTTGATCGTCGTTTGGTAAGAGATGATGGGCGTGGTCTGGGCCAAGGAGTGATGGATAATCGTGTAATGAATGTTGTCTTCCATATCACTATGGAAACCAATATTTCCTCCCCTTCAAATATGGTTTCCAGCTCTTTCCCTTTTAGTCCATCTCTCTCCTCTCACTGTGTTGGTGCTCACTTGAACTTTCCATTACATGCATTTATTGCCAAGAAGCCACAGGAATTATCAGTAAAGCCTCCGCCCAGATCTTTTTCTCCTTTAGCTGCTCCGTTGCCTTGTGACTTGCATATTGTGAACTTTAAGGTACCTAGGCCTTCAAAATTTTTTCAGGAACCACCTGAAGATCTTAGATTTGCTCTAATTGTGCACAGGCGACATTGGGACTCTTCATACTGTCGGAAGGGAAGATCACAATGCACTAATCTGGCTGAACAACCCCTAAATCTGTTTTCCATGTTCAAGGATATTTCAGTATCGAAAGTTAAAGCGGCATCTTTGAATCTTTTGCATGAAGACCCAGAAGTACTGGGATTGACAGAGACATTCAGTGATCAAGCACGAGACGGGCACGTTACCATATCTCCTATGGAAATTCAGGCCTACAAGTTGGAGTTGCGGCCCCAGCAATGAAATACTCGTCACTGAATTATTTCTGCTGATTTAAGCTGGGTTGATTGCAAACAAATGAATTTTAGTCGCTCCTATTATAGGGTTGAATTATTCTCGGATAACTTTCTCATTTAAATATGGAGTTTTAAGGTTGGTCAGGGAAAATAAGTTGATAGATAGTGAGAGCAGTTCCCTTGGGCGACGAAGGGTGACACCACATACGCATGTAGCTGTCATGTAAACTTTGGATGAGCTTCGTAGCTTCAGCGGCTTCTTGATTGTTAGGCGAATATTGTAGCATCTGCTTACGTCCGGCTCAACTTAAAAGAGTAGAATACATGATTAATTTTGGTTTGTTCTCTAATACGTGATTGTAAACACACGATAGGGAACCATGTATAGTTCTGTTACTTCTGAAGAAGTTTCTGACAAGTTTTTGTTTTTTTATTTGTCCAAGAAATATAGTTGGTAACGATGTGAGAAGACTCGCGTCTCGATATTAATATTCTTCAAAAACCCAAAATATTGGGTTAAAAACTTAAAACGTGTTTTGTGCATCTCACATCCTCCGTTAACTGTATCAGGCCGTACGTGTTTTCTTAAGATTAGGGGGGAGAAAAACCTGCTTTCGGCATTTGAAATCTGCCAGTACTTGGTAGCTGGTAGTGTCTGAGAGTTTCTTTGGCTTCATCTTTGAGTACTAAATTTTGCTCTTGCCTTGCTTGAATTACTGCGAGGAAGATTTTAGTGCAAGTACACACAACAGAATGTCGCTTACAAAACAGTTTCGAGTGCAATTCTTTTTTTTTTTTTGGGGGGGGGGGTTTGGGGAATCTGAACTTGACATTCAAATATTTAAATAGACGAGAACATGAAAGAGGAAACACATTTGGGTCCCTTGGAAGAGAATATTTTAGCAGTTTTTGCGGGACTCTACAGTAATTCTCGCTAATTTTAAAAGGGTCACTGTTTGTCAATAGTTTTCTCACAAGAATATCATTCTCCGAAAATATTTAAAAAATCTAGCCACCTCAGCTAGTGTACACATTTTGTTCTGGTTTTCATGGAAGTAGCATTAATTTATAAGATAAAATAAGGCTTCATTGTGATTTACGTAACTCGTTTATTTTTAACAAACGATAACGTTGAAGATGTAAATTGTAAAGCGATTAATTCTGAATTCTTTCAATTATGGAGTGGATGAAAAGTTTCTTCCAGACCCTACATCACATAGGATGGGCTTACAATTTCTGGAAGTGCAGTGATCACTTACGTCACTTACGTCAAAAAGTTACGTGGGCATCATTGATTATTGAACCAATAGTTCATTCGAAAGAGCTTAGGTGCTTATTAGGCAGGTAATCAAATCAGAAAATTTTATTCAAGTACAAATATGAAACCCAACAATTCCGGACATTAGCTGTATAAGAAAACTCAAAAAGAAGGGGGAAAAGTCATATGACCGAGAAGGCACACTACTTTCTTGCTGGGCCTGAACTTCAATATATCACTCATTTATTAAAAAAATGAATATTGTTAATAAAATATTTGCTTCATTTCAGTATTGTTATTACAAGAGAAAGAAAATAAAATAAACGAAAAATTATAAATAAAAAAGGAAAAGTGAAAAGCCTGGTGAAACCTCTTTTCTTTCTGAGTTCCAAGTAAAACTTTCTCTTCCAAATATCATAAGATGATTTCCTCTCGTACACTGACATTCAGGGTCTTGTTGGGAAGAACAATGCTATTGATCACAACAACCTCATCTTCAACCGTCACAGCTTCTCCTGTAAGAAAAGTTAAAAGGAAACAAAGGCCAGTACTGAGAATTGATTTCGAATATTGGATTTAGATAACCAACAATAAAAAATACTACAAGCGAGACCAAACAGAGGATGTATACCGAGGATGGTGATTCCAAGCTTGGCATTGTAGTCTCCCACAGCCTGCAGCATGCAGTTGACTATTGGTTAGCCATAGCAAGCATGTTTAATACAACCCTCAAAGGGTTATAAAGCTTTCCCAATTAGAGTTGCAAGTCTCCAGGACTAAAATTTGTGCTCTGAGGATGCATAATTCTCTATTTATTCACAATCATTCTTTAGATTTTATCTTCAAAATCAAACGCTATTACTAGCTATGAATATCGTGTACTGGACTTGCCTGCACTCGTGACCATCTGCCAATTGACGATTTCCATCCAATGATAGAATTTATAACTACACCATTTTCCTGTCAGGAGAAACAACACATCGCTTATACATTAAAAATGTCACACTAGACACATCTAGTTCTTGCTGTCAGCAAAGAATACACTTTGGTATTGGGGGGAAAAAAGAGTCACGCTGAAAACATCTTGCTCCTTACCTTGATTTCAACGTCATCCAAAATAATACAACTTATCAGCCTGACACCAGCCCCAACACGAACATTTGCTGAAACAGAAACATTGGGACCAATCTGCCCAAGAAAGAAAAAGAAGGAATTTATTTTAAATTTTACAGCAAGTACTTAGGTCAGAAAAAATGAGCAAACTTCAATGTTTTATTTTAAATGAGCAGCCAAAACATCCATAAATGCTATAGCCAACTCATCATTTGATGGAACACAAATGATTCTTAAACTCATACAACGGCACCTTCATTGTCAATCCAAAATAACTTCTTAATGAAGAGCTTTCATACAACACAACAGCTTTTAAAAGTTCCCAATTGGAGCCTGAACATAGCTCTAATGGTGTTCACAGGCATCAAATTAACACATAAGAATTCGACATCAGCACAACAACTTTTTATTTGCTTGCATAAAAGAGGGAAGTTCAAAGTCCTCTAAAGACGCAAATGGAACTACCTTGGCAGTTGGATGTACTTTTGCAGATGGATGAATATATACATCACCAACAATCGTAACATTTCTTTTACCATCTCCACTGGCCAAAAGATGGGGTGAAGTAAACCGGAATTGAGTGAGATACAACTCTGAGCATTTTAGAGACATTCTGTTCATGCCAAGTAGATTCAATTAGGTGGAGCCTAACCAGGGTTCTAGGTTAAGGCTCAAGGGTAATATACAAAGGAAATCCTACCCTGGAGTTTTAATTTGCTCCCAAAAATCCATTGTCTGATATGTATACAATTGTTTCTTTCCAGCCAGAGGCGACAAAATATCTTGATCCAGTCTTACAAAATCTGTAGGAAGAGCCCTGCAGAACAATTACAGATCTGTGAGTTTGGTGAAAAAGTGAAAGTGCAGTTTTGGAAAGGAAAAGGCAAAGGATGACTGCGTTGGAAAGATGTGAAAGAGATATCTGAATATTTGTCAAATCATTGAGAATTTAGAAGGATGAAAAAGCAATAGAGATCAGATATTCTGCATGACAAATAACATAATTGCTTCCATGGCTTAAAGGGAAAACCAGGCAGCCATGGGGAGAGGCTATTATGCATTTGACTCATATCTGAACCAATAGGGAGTTAGGATGCATGTGTAAGCCATTAAAAAATTACCTTTATTTTGCTTTGAAAAAAATAAAGTTAATGGTGTTAGGCCAACCTGGTGGGAAATTGGAGTGCTTCAAAGCTGGAGACTCGACGTAAATTAGCTGCAATCAACAAAATGAAGTTGTTTTCCAACAATGAAAGCTATTTTTGCCCAAAAAAGCAACTCACTCTGAGATCAGACCAAAGCTAAGTCTACAGTGCAATTAGCCTTGTTTTAACTTCAACTAAAATCTTAATTCAACTAATAGCCTTAGGGGGAAAATTGTCTATTGTCTTATGGCATCGTCCCAATATTTGATGTTCACTCAACCCTAAACTGGTGAGGGCTTTCAAGAAACGAGAAGCATAATATAATTTATATTTGCTGAAGAAAAGTAACATCAAAAAAAATCCGAAGCTTGGAATCTGCAAGGAAAATTGTTCATGTTCACTAAAAACTTCACTTGACAGCAAATATATTTCACTGAGAGAAATTAAAAGAGAGCACACAAATAAAGAAAAAAAGTCTAGTATTTTACATAATAACTATCTCTTATCAACCATATCATGTAATCGAGTGCAATGACCAAAATATGTTGGTGGAATTATGGATTATCATGCGTATGCTCTTGATTTCAGGTTTGTTAAAATACAAAGACTGATCTAATCTATGTATTTACAAACAAATTCATGGATGCAGATAAACTAGGCCAACCTCTGTCTTCACGATTACTGGATACATTTTGTATGGCATGAAATATATCAGGGGTGAATACATAAACGCCACAATTTATCAAATCACTAACCTGCAGGTTATGAAATGGTAAATCCTCCATTAGCAAAGCCAAAACCATAAAAAATATAATTTTACCAATCATACTCAAATATTGGATGCTTTTCTAGAGAAAAAAACAGTGAAATAGGTTAGAGCCAACTAAAGTAAATACTCACAAAAGTCTCAGGTTTCTCCGTATAATGCAGCAATTCATTAGTGACCGGATCAGCCACCAACTCACCAAACTGGCTAGCCGATTCAGGAGAAACCTACACATGCGAATTTCATCCCCATCAACACCAAACAAATATTAATAATAAATAAAAAGATAAAAGGATTAACAAAGTTTCCCAACAGCTTGTAATCCCTATGCACAAACATAGTAATTCATTTACTAGCACCAACCTTGATTACTAACATTGTCCCCATTCCACCATAACTTTTATGGGCTTCTGAAAAGGAAACAAAGTGATCATCAGTGCTGTACTTCTAAAGATCCACGATATCTTTATTGTGATCAACTTACCAAGCATGGCTGGTAAAGGGAAACTACAGCAAACATCACAATTGAGAAGAAAGATATGTGACTGCAATCAAAATAGGAAAACTTGAGATACAACAAGTTCTACATTTAATAAAAAATAAACAATTATGACGGCCATATTTCTAACTGGGTTGTCTTCCATGATAATATCTCTGAAGCAGTAAAAGCCGCCAGCTGAACCATGTGGTTTTTCTTCCTTCAAATATCTAGGATGGACAAGATTAGTAAAATATTAAAGTCAGATCCAGCAGTGACACTATTGAAACGCATGCCTGAAAGACGAAAAGGACTACATAAAGTAGTAGTCACCTTACTGGCAATTTCATCTCACTTGAAATCGAAGAAACATACAGTGCAAATTCTCGCTCCTCATAGAATCCTATCAGATATATTTGAGCTAGATTAGGTATCTGTAAGTCAAAGAAACCAATGAGTCCGAATTTATTTTACACAGACGGACAACGAATACGAAGAATCAGTGAACATTGAGGAACCCAACGCCAATTTCCTTCTGGTGTTCCGAATCAGCTTAGGAACTGCGTAAAATGTGAAAACTAAGTGAGAAGAAAAGCACACCCTTTTACAAGCAGAGATGGGATGATGAACCATTGGCTGCCCAGCTAGAGGGAAAAGGGGTTTAGGAACATTAAATGAAAGAGGCCGGAATCTTGTCCCTGCAGACACAATTGAATAGAGTCATAGTAAAGGGGAACCCTAAATCACACAGGAAGAAACATAGAAGTTTAGTCAGCAGAAGCAGGTGAAATACCTTTGGTGGGTCCGCCCACCATAATCACAGCAACCACCTTGTCCGAGCTCTCCATATTCAAAGGGCAGATCTCTGGCTCATAAACCTAAGTTGGTTTCGATGTGGGGGGCTGAAGAAATGAAAGGGATTGCAGCATCAAAGAGAGCAATTCGAGGGAAAGCTACCAGTGGCACAATTTTAAAATAAAGCCAAATCTTTAACAGCACTTTGCTAATTGGTTAAGTCACTGAACGTTTCCTACACTTACTTGGTGGCTTCCTATCCTTTTCACGCTTCTTACGTGGCTCTATCACGGCGGTTAGCTAGATTTGGTTTAACGCCGTCATATCAGAGTTCGCAGAAAAAATGACAGTAATATCAGACGAGGCTATATACTTTTTATACTTTAATTTTATTTACAATTTTAATTTATTTTTTTTTAATTTTAAAAAATATCTTTTCAACTCTCCATTCTCATCATTGTTATTTTTAAATGATTATTTTTTATATTTATTATTATTTTTTAAAAAAAATTAAAGTTAATATATCATATTTTGTTAATATTAAAAAGTTTAATGTAAATTTTTTGTAATAAAAATATTAATGTTATGATGAAATGATATTAAGAAGATACTTTATAAAATTAAAAAATTAAAATAAAATTTTATATAAAATTAAATGATTAAAAGTATATTTATGAACTAAATTATTAATGATTAATATTGTCTCCCATTGTTTAATAGTGGTTCCAATTTTCAACTTACTTTTATCCCTAAACATAAGTTCAAAAATAGATTTTTAGATGTAAATTGTAATCAATACATGGTTTCAAGCATGCCTCTTTAAAAAGATATATTAACACTTTGACATCTACTTAAAAAGTATATCATAAAAAAAATGAAATATATTTTTATTTTTATCATTAATTCTAGAAATAATTTTAAATTCAAAATATAGAATCTCTTATAATAATTAAATTATTTTTGTCAATTTTACCCTTTATTAATTAGTGTAAAGATATTTAATGTAGTTGTATTATCATCAATTTTAAATAATAATATAACTACATGAAATACCTTCACACTAATTAAGAAAGGATAAAATTAAGAAAAATAATTTAATTATTATAAGAGATCTTATATTTTGAATTAAAAATTATTTTTAAAAAATATTTTGTAAATATGATTGAAGGACGTAAATTATATAAAAGTCATATGAATGATACTGAAGAAGTCGACACCATACCTCCTTATAAATTTAAAATATTTTATACAAAATATTGAGAATTGGTATTTACGACTGAATTCTTTTTTAACTTCACGATACCTTATGTTATAAAATATAAATTTCAATTCATAAAAATTAAACCTTATTCATCAAGGGGCAATTATTTTTTTCTTTACAGAGTGAACGAATTGCTCAACATGCGGGCTAGCCAGGATGATCACCGGTCAGAACCATAAGCTGACAAAGTGACGAGTGAAGCGTTCTTTAAGCAGAAGCGCAGAACAATAACATCGATAGAAAATGCAGCATATATTGGATCTCAGAATTCGTCACTGCTTATCTGCTTTTTAGGGTCGATCAAATCTCAAAATGGAACAGTTCAAACTAAGCAGAAAGTATTCCCTTCAATTTTCAACCATAACAAAGAGAACAGACCAAAAATGTGCAGAAATCTTTCCAGCCCAGAATAGGCTAAGTGCAAATGTTCAATCAAGTGCCTATGCTTGTTCATGTACATAATATACATAACTGCATCAATTAAAGTAATCGCTTCTCCGCCAGTTGTTTGATCGAGTCAAAACGTCACCCCTCAACGATGAGGGCAGAGATTCGCAGGAATACGATCAGCCATCAAATTATATCAGAATCAATGTTGTTTCAACGACCAAAAATTCATCCTCTGGCCAAAAAGAAAACTACGTAGAAATCATCTCATTTTCAATGACAGCGAAGGATCAAGAAACCGCACATCTCAATTCATCAGCCTCCTCCAGAAGCAATCGTTGTCAGGTAGAATACCTTGATGAAAACCATGCTCAAAGATACTACCCCACACATTCCACCTGCAATGTTAAATCCTTGACACCGGCATCGTGTAATTTATCAGATACCTGAGACTTAACGGATGCTTTATCAGCATCGGTTGATAGATGGAGGTGCAGTGTCCCAACAATATCTGTGTTTGTGAAGCTCCATACGTTAAACTTTATGCCTTGAACACCCCTAATCTTCATAACATCATTTAGAGCGTCTTTCAACTCTTTCTCATGCGCCCTAGGCACTCTTTGGAGCAAAATTTCAGCAGAGTTTCTGAGCAAAGGTATCACTGAGGACACAATTAAAATTGAAATAAATATTGAGCACGCAGGATCAGCTATGAGCCATCCCTTGTACTTAATTAAAAGGGTAGATATAACGACTCCAACACTTCCCATTGTATCAGCCAGGACATGCAAGAATATTCCTTCCATATTGTGATCAATATGAAAATGAACATGACCTTGAGGGCTTTTTGCATCATCATTTGATATATTTTTCAGTTTAGAGTCACAGTTTCCCATGGAAGAACAAACTCCCTCACCATGAGACTTGGCAACTGTATCGAATTTGAGTGAGCTTTCATGACAATGGTGATCAACACCAAGGTGATTGTGGTGGTGGTGATTATCAAGACCATGGTGATCACCATGGCCTTGGTTGTCATGATAGCAAGCATGATCATGGTCGTAATGATGATGGCATTGTTGGTCATCATGATCATGATGACCACCATAGACATGGTTGACATGCTGCAGCCCATGACCATGGTTGTCATGATGACATCGGTGGCCATGATCCTTGGGGCTCCGAGTAATGTGATCTTCTGCATTAGAGTCATCTTTCTTGTGATGGCTGCAGGAATTGCGGTCGTGGAAGTGTTGGTCAAGACTACCAGAGCATAATTTTTCTTGGTAATCACTTGAAACAGAAAAAATATCCTCATGCTTTCCATGTGATTTGCTATTATGTTCCCCATGGCAATGCAGATCATGATGGTCATGGTGGTCATGGTGACTATGGAACTTAGAGAGTGTATGTGAATGTGAGCATGATCCAGAGCCTCCATGTGCATGATGATGTTCCTCATGAAAGAATATCAAGCCAATCACATTGACTACAAGCCCTCCTATAGACACAACTAACAAACTATTAGTTGATATTTCTTGAGGATCTAGAATCCTCTCAAGTGACTCCAATACTATCAGTGCTCCCACAAGAACCAAGAAAACAGCATTAGCATATCCTGAAAGAACCTCAAATCTCCCACGACCATAGTTATACTGCTGATTTGCAGGTAAACGCGATATATATGAAGCATATAGCCCAATTGCCAAGGCAGCACAGTCAAACAACATGTGACATGCATCTGATATCAACCCAAGACTATTGCTCATAAACCCGCCAACAAACTCCACAACCATGTAGCCAGTGTTGATAAAAAGAAAAAGAGCAATTTTACGGGATCTCCTCTCACTTAAAATATGTCTGATAGGCTTCATAATCATGCTAGTAAATGACTCTGAATATGCCTCTCCTGGTTCAAGATGATCCAAGCGACCAGGATCCAATTCTCTAACAGCTATATAGAGCAAGAAACCACAGAGCAACAAACCCCAGAGAGAAAGCTCAGGGAAATAGAAAAGCTCCAATACCACAGTACAGACAAAAGTGACTAAAAACTCCCTCTGAGAATCTTCCGAACCTACTATCTTCTCATTACTGTAATTTTCACTCAATAGTACACCAAAAACAACAGTATTAACGAGAGGCCAAGCTAATTTTGTGAAGGAAATACTTTCTTCCTCATTTTCAAATAGTAGAAAACTGATGACAGCTGGAACAAGTAACACAATCGTAGTGAAGAAAAGGGAAATTAGCCGAACCCGTTTATGACCAAGTTGCTGAATTGTTCCCCAATCCATTGACTTACGTTCGTAACAACCCAAGAATCCAGATAGAAAGGGAAGCAACATGGGCCAAATCCTCACACAATTTTCCCGCGCGAATAGTGCATATCGCCGTTTGTCAGTGAATGAAGTAGAAAAGGGTAAACATTCAATCCGATCCCAGCTGACAGATAACAGAAACAATCCGATAGACAATGCGAGAAACCCACGAACCTTTGGGGATCGATTACGAATTTGATTTCTCCCCTCCGCAGTGAACCGAGCAGCCACGCTCCCAGTCAACTCAGCGAGGATCATCGCAGCGGTCCCGCAGTATCGAAGTGCTTGAAATCGAAGGAGAAAGACCAAAGCCAGGAGAACTGATTTGCCGACCAAAAGCCTCTGCTGAGATTGTGTAATCGAGTTCAAAGCGAAAATTGGTTGGTTTGGCTTTCTCTGGTGAAATGGGTCTCTGGACGAGGAAGAGGAGGAATATGAAGAAAACAGGGAAAAACAGAGGGTGAGAAGGAAGGAAAGAAGTGATACAAGGAAGGAAAAAGGGAATAGTGAAAAGGAAGGAGAGGAGCGAAGAAAAGGGAGGAGGGAATAAAAGGATCGTAAGGAGAACAGGAGGAGGAAGAGGAAGGAGAGGGAAGATTTACTAGAGGATTTGGAGTTGGACGATGAAACCGAAGAAAGACGGTGTTTTGAGGGAGTCGGGGTCGGGGTTAATGATGTATAAGGGTACATAGGATATGGTCTGGGCGTGGTGGAGAAGGTGGTGGGCGCGGTGGCGCGTGGTGGAACGGAAAGGCGGTGCGGTCGATGTTGCTGGTGGTGGTGAAGGTGATCGTCGGCCATGGTGGGCGGTTTCGAAGAGGAAGAAGAAAGCCGGCGAGAATTCTAAAAATTGAATCTCGGGATCCCGGGCCCTAAAAGAAGAATCTCGGAAGCTCAGAGAGAAGAGATGAAGAACGAGAACGTCTTTACTGAAGGAAGACTTGCTTCGCCAAGGAACAAAGACTCTAAACCCGGAGATTCATCCATAGGGATCATCCGCACCGTCCGACCTAAACTTAAAAAACCGTACGATAAAGAATTAGTAGTTCGACATCTGAGGTTCAATTTTAGACTAATTTTGCAATAATGATCTTGTTAAACGATTATACAGAATAACCACGATCCGCGTATAGGTGTCGGAGTAGGATAGGATGCGATAACTGCGACTAATTTTGCCACAGTAATCTCGTTACTGGACTATAAATCACAACCAATTAGACCGCTAAGTGTTAGTACATTTATCAAACAAACCCTATCTTATATTATAAGTTTTCGTGTTTCTAATTATAAGCCTTTTTTTTTCTACCAGCAATTATAAGTCTTATTAAATTATATATATATATATATATATATATGTGTGTGTGTGTGTGTGTGTGTGTGTGTGTAATGCCTTGAATTTTGGGAGAATCTCATTTAAGGTTTTGAAAACACAAAAATTTGCTTTTAAGACTCAGTAAAATATGAAAATATATTACAAGCTTGAAGGTCTCTCTTGTAAATTTTGTTGTGAATAAAAAAATGTATTTATCTTTATGGAATGTTCATATAAATACAATATGATATACATAAATCCTCAACACAATATTCATAAATATACAAAATATCCAGTGAGCATTAACTTCTAGTATGTTGTTTCAATGAAAGTATATTATTCATTTTGGACTTTATGTTGTACAAATGTTACAAATTAACATATGTTCACTACATTGAGAATTGATGAATATCAAATGGTGTATATACATTGTGTAACAGCTCCAGCTTATCAATAGCCTTTTCCCCTGAACTTACACCGTGTTGGACACACCTTTCCTTAGGCCCCACACAAGACGACCCCTCTTAAGAGAGCGTCAAGAGACAAGGCTTCTCCACAGTAGTATGTGGGATTATTCTCCTGTGACAAATAACGCAAGGAGAGCTTCCCTAGGTTCAATCTCACAACATCTCCTACTTAACAAAGTTGAGGCTGAACTTGATAGGTATGGTGAAAGTCGAGGGGGAGAGGCCCTTGGTGAGTTGGGGCTATTACATAAAAAGGCACTCAACCATGGTAGAAGAGTATCTACCATGGTAAACAAAAATCAACTTATCTTTTAAAATAATTTAACTCAATCATGATAGAAAAAGTGTCTATTATGATAAACAGAAGTCAACTTATCCTATATTTTTATTTTGAAAAAATTCTATAATTTAAACCACTAACATAGTAGAAAATAATAAAACATAACCTTATAAAATATTTCACTTTTTAAAATAATTACCATGGTAGAAAAGATTAAACTAGAGAAATAAGTACTATTATGATAAATAGAATTTAACTCCTTAAATTGTCATTTTTAAAAATTAGAATCCCAAGAAATTAAAAATAAAATAAATGTCAAAGGCCCAAAATATTTTCTTTTCAAATAATACAAATGAATTTCATACAACTAATATACATATATAATCATAGTTGGATTACAATCACCTAATATATTTTATGTTAATAAATTCAATATAAAAACATTTAACAATTGGTTTAAGCTTGTACAATACAACATCTCAGATAAATTTTTATCTCCCACATGCCATTAGATTAAAATCACATTTTTTCATCATTATACTCCCAACAAGTGTAAATAATAGATCAACAATTAAAATAAATAACTTAATCAATTTTCAAAACAAGCCAATTATTTGGCCTCATAATCATGCCATTTCAAACCATCCAAAATAAATCAGATATCAAGGTTATAATCATCCAAAGTGTACCAAAAGTAGAAATAGTTTAAAGGGCATAATTACATCATTATATTCATATAATTGTCAATAAACAAAAAGCCATAGTATTGACAATATAACACATTAAAAATTATAAATCAAATACCTAAAAGAGATTGTGGATCTATGCCACTAAGACTCAGGGACTCCTCCACGCGTTACTCGTGGCTTTTCTTCTAAAAATTGGTAACCACATAATGAGACTCGAAAGTCCCAATAACCAGTGCCAATTTATGATAGTGTATATAAATAGTTAAATGTGTGCTTGTTAAGTGGGAAAACAACAGTCATATAATTTCAACAAAAATACAAGAAATATTACAATGTGTAACAAATAACCATCCTTATCACCCTCTATTGACCTCAAATCGTAGCTCTCACTCGATGTTATTACCCAGCCAAAGGTAGATTAGCCCGAGCCCTTACAAGCCACCTACTGGGCTCCAATAGGGGCGTACCATATGGCACATAGATACAACAACGGCTGCAAGTCTCCCAACACTTCCCACAATAATCAAACAAAATTCATATTAACATTGTACACTTATATAATATTACAATCTTCACAATTTTTTCATTTTCAACAATATTACATGATATCCCACTTGGCAAAAATACTTTAAAATGCATATTTACAATTTCACAATTTTTTCATAAACATAACAAAATAATTTCTCAACAATGATTCATAATTTTTTCAATAATCACCCAATTAACATAAGCAACGCTAATCACAAATTAAAAGTATAATTACCTCGTAGCTTTTTTAATAAATTATTCCTTACAATTTCTCTCCCACCACAATTTTCACTAAGAACACAATCTACAAATAATATATTATTTATAAATATTAGTTTCAATTATTAAAACTAATAAAATAATTCTAATAATAAAATTAGATAATATAACATAATTCCTACTCTTAACCTTAATACAAATCTAGAATTAGTACTATTAAGTAAAAATTTTAACTCCTTTTTTAGTCATCAATAAACATTAATAAGCTAAAATCAACCTCTAAATCAATTTCTATTATCATAATTTTTCTTTTCATTTCATAAATTTGCACCTAAAATATCTAAAAATTAAAAAATTGAGTCTCAAACTTAGAATCATTATCCTATAGCCATAATAATCCATTTTTCATCTCAAATAATTATCTAAACCTCAATAAATTAACATATATTTTTGAATTTAATAAAAATTTAGTCTAGAGTTTGATCCATAAGCCTCAAATTCAAAACTCACTAATAAATTTATACTCTAGAACATTTATTATATTACCAATAACCTCAACAACCACATTATTCAACATAAATTTTTCACCATCACAAAATTAGAAATGAAAGGAACTAGATGACTAAAAATTTTTTTAGAACACTTACTTAATTTTGAAAAGTTTAAAATCTCACCCTAAATATTCTATTAAGAAGTCTCACCTTTAACCCAGCTCCCCTGCGCCGGCGACTGTGTTCTGTCGCTTACACTATCCGTGTCACATGAAGGGAAAAGAGAAAGTGCTTGGAAAAATGAGAAGGAAAGAGGAGAGACTAATTTAAATAAACAAAATGTGGGTCTCACACCTATTTCCTCATTCATTTTGTGCGCGCGCGCGCATTACACCTGCACATGCAAAAAGTCTACCTCCCTCTTTTTCTATTCTTTTTAATTCCTATACATATACATATATATATATATATATATATTTCATTTCTCAATCTCTCTCTCTATTATATTTTTCTTTCTTCTTTTTTAATAATAATAATAATAATTATTTTTTTAAAAAAATCTTAACTTAGAATTATATTCTAAAATAGATCTAATAATCATCTCTTACTAGTTTGCTTATCTCTAAATATTTTTTAAAATTTTTATTAATCTAAATTAACTAATAAAATTTAAATCAAGATGTTACACATTGTATTGTTCATGCATTGCTTGTTTGTATATTTTACTTCAAGTTAAACTATGTTCACTAGATGTTTTGTGCATTTATGAATATTGTGTTGAGAATTCATGCACATTGTGTTGTTTATACATGGACATTCTATTGAGACAAGGGCAAATATGTCTTTTCATTAACAACAAATTTTGCAAGAAGGGCCCTGGGGCACAATGCATTTTCAAATTACATGCTAAGGACCTTAAGTGAGATTCTCTTTTGAATTTTTCTTTACACGGATATTTTTGTTTAGAAAATCATTTCATTTACTTTCTCTCTTTTAACCTCAATTATAATAGAATTTACCAAATTCAACCGTCTTAAACCAATGATTTCAAAATAGACCAGATTGAATGTTTTGACTGGTTAGATTGCTAGCTGGTCCTTATTTTAGCTCAATTTGAACCATAAAATTGTTTTAGCTTTTGAATTGGATTTGTAACAACCCTCACCCCACCCTCTCGGGGGTCTTTTGGACTGGGCCCACCCACATCACTGCTGCGGAGGTGACTCAATAGTACCAGACTTAGCCTCAACTTCCTTAAGGTGGTAAAGGTTGGAGGTTTGAGTCTGGGAAGGCTTCAAAAGACCTCTTTGGTGGGGTAAGGAATAACTCAAGTACCACCTTGGGAAAAACCAACCTCCACTGCAGTGATGTGGGCGAGTCCAATCCAAAAGACCCCCGGGAGGGTGGGGTGAGGGCTGTTATAAGATTAGACTACTTTGAAATAATGGTTAGATTGGGAATCCTTAAAAAATCGTGAATTGGAGTGGTTTTGTAAAAATGAGATGATTCAAATTTGTTTCACTCTGTTTCAATTTTAACCCCTAAAAAAAATCTCCCTCACTTTTCAACACTTTGAGAAGGTAAAAATGAATTTGTTTTGTATACTTCGTTCCAATTTTAACTCTACATCAAAATAATACCTTCATTTTTTATTTTTTTAGGACACCTTTTTTGATAAATTATTTTTATTCTTTGTATATGTTTCAATCTAAATAAATATTCAGGTAAAAAAATTAAATTAGTGTAGGGATATCTTATATGAGTGTTGGTATTGAATTATTTGATATTATGTTATATCATGAGGCATATTAACTCATAATTAACTTGAAATATTCAGCTTTATCTTCAAGTTATATAGCAATTTTATATTTATTTCTTACATTTATATTATATTATATATATATATATATAATATTTTTAATTTAATTATTATGTTATTAGTTTGACCATGGGTCCAACTAATTAGACAATTTGAACCGTGAATCACTACCATTGTTGGTTCGATTCTGAAAACATTGTTTTAAATATTAGTAATAATTAAAAAATAAGTTATAAG